GCGCCCGGCCCTATGTTCTACTTTTTAACGTGTTTGTAAGAGAAGAGCAAAGTCAGCTAGATTGTTTGTCCAGACACTTTGCTCTGTGGATACAGATTCTTTGACCGGCAGAGAGCACCATCGCTCTCTGGCTCTCAGCGCCTCTGTCAGCAGGCAGAAGCCGTTTCCCTGTCTGGAAGGCATGTCTGGGTGTCCACACAGCATGGCCAACAGTGCGCAGCGTGCAGAGCCAGGCCGGGAGAAGGCCCAGCCTTGCCCAGCTGCCCCCTACTCTCCCTGGCCTCGGGCCTGAGAGGGTACCTGTCCCGGCTTAGTCACCCGGAAGCCAGAATCCTTCACAGCTTTCGGAATTCTCCAGTGCAAGAGGAAGCCATCCATGTTCAGAGCTGCTTTAGATGGTTTGCCCATCACCGGCATTCCTGAACCTGGAAACGGGCACCCCCAGCCAGGCCGGGGACCACTGTGTGCCCAGAATTCTCCTCCCGTTCTTTTTCCCCTCGCCTGGCTCACAGCTGCCCTGGGAAGAAGGGAGCCGGCCGCAAGGCGCAGTCCAAGCCGGGCCGGAGGCCGAGACCATCAGCAGTGCCCCCCACAGCAGGCTTCTCGTGTAGGAATATGGGTCACTGCCTTCCAAGGAATCCTTTTTCTTCTGGTTTTTAAGCTGCCACCACTTGCTTTACCTCCGATAGAAGCATCCAGAATGCTGTAGTATCGGCATAAGCAGAAGCCGGGGTGGTGCTTGCTCAGGGTCAGTGCATCGGTTCTGCCCATGGCCCTGCCGGCGGCAGTGTGAGGCCGGGTGTGTCTGGAAGCTTGTTTTCCCAGAGTGCCCTGTGCCAGGCGGCTCCCGACCTCCTCTGAGTCAGTCACGGCCCTGCAGGACTGGAGCCAGGATGGCCGGTCACAGAGTCAATGGTCCTGTCGAGGCTCCTGCTGTGGTGTTGGGGTGGGTCTCCCTCCAGAACCTTCACTGTGCAGGGAGCGCAGCAAAACCTGAGGCCTGTCGGAGGCCTGCGGGCTGACGGGGGGTGGGGCACTTTCTTGGGTACAGGCTTTTCCCTCCTGGTGCCCTGCCTCTGTGCAGCCCGACGGGTGGGAAGGCATGTGTGCCAGGCTAACAAGATGCCCTAGTCATGGCGAGGCTGTCTGTGTTTGGGATCCCCGGCTGTGGTGCCTTCTGAAGAGGAACCCTTTTCCTGTGGTTAACTGAGCAGCCAGCCCTTCGCGTTCTCAGCTGGCCGTCCCATCCTGGCAACACCAAGCTCACATTCCGGCCCTCACCGGCATTGCTGTGTCTGTTTACCACCTGCACTACAATTGTTTTTTGTTTGTTTTGGGGGGATGGCGCCTCGCTCTGTCATCCAGGCTGCAGTGCAGTGGTGCAATCGTGGCTCACTGCAGCCTCGGCTACCCAGGCTCAAGCAGTCCTCCCACCTCAGCCTCCTGAGTAGCTGGGGCCACAGGTGCATGCCACCATGCCCAGCTGATTTTTGTGTTTTTCATAGAGACAGGATCTCACTATGTTGCCCAGGCCAGGCTCAAACTCATGGGCTCAAGCGATCCTCCCACCTCAGCCTCCCAAAGGGCTGACATTACAGGTGTGAGCCCCCAAGTCCGGTCTGCACTGCCGTTTACTTAATATTTTTCTTTAACTAGGTTTATTTTTAAACAAGGCTTTGTCCAAGGACATTTGGCTTACAGACACAGAGCTGATTAACTGGTTATGTATTTTTTGATAAGACAGTTAAGAAAAATGTGTAGCTGATGAAATAGCATGTGCTGGGCCCCACCACTGGGCCTGGGAGGTGCAGCGCGTCCCAGCAGAGGCCGCCTCCTGCCTGCCACGCCTGCTGTTCTCACAGGCAGGGGCTCTGCTGCTTAGAGCAGTGTGACCATCTCGGCTTCTCTCCTCATCGTCTGTCTCACACTGGGTCCCCACCACGCCTCTCGCCGCCCCTGCCTCTGTCCCTGTGTAGCCCGAGGAGCTCCAGCTTTCCCCGGCGACGGTGCTCTGGGAGTGGGGACATGATGCAACCGTGCACCCCAGACCCTTCCCTGTCCTGGGGGGAGGAGTGCGGCACGCAGAGGAGCAGAGGGCAGGGACACTGGCCCTGTGGGGGAAGAAGGTGCTGCTGTCACAGCCATTACTGTCCTTGGTGGGACCCCAGCCTGGAGTCCGCCATCCTTTGGCCCCTGCCTGTGGCCACTGAGCTCTCAGGTGGCCACGTGCACATCCCCTGCTCCTTCCCTGTCCACCTGCCTCGCCCGGTGGCCTTTCTGGTCCCAGCTGCTGAAACCAGTGAGCTGCTCCAGGGTGAGGCTGCTTTCTGGCGCCTGGCATATTTGGACACAGATGGGCCTTTAGTAAGTGTCCAGAGGCGCCCCACGCTGCCCTCATGGTCAGCATGACGCCCAGGGCAGACTCTCTTCACACAGCACCTGGGCCTCGGGAGCTGCTGCCCTGTTCTTGGTGAAAAGCATCTGTGCGTAAGGGGAGCACCGCTTTTAGGATGCCACCCGTTCCTGGGCACCTTGTTTTTAGCTTCTGACCTGAAGGTGAGCGGGGAGTGTGGTGGCGAGAGCGTGTGGGTGCGGCTCACGGTCTCTTCTCTGTGGCAGGTACATGTCCCAGAGCAAGCACGCGGAGGCCCGGGAGCTCATGTACTCGGGAGCCCTGCTGTTCTTCAGCCATGGCCAGGTACGCCATCTTGTTCCTCCTGCGTCCCTTCCTGCTCCCGGCAGACAAGTTGAGGTGGGAGTGACATGGGAGGGGCCTGACAGGCATACCTTGGGCTGCCCTGGGCCTTGGCCACTGGGGCTGTGGGTGGCGGAGGGGCCCAGAGTCCCTGGCTCGGCTGCTCCCCTCTCAGGGCTGAGACGCTGCGCTGCGTGTGCGCACAGTGGGGCTGAGTGGGCATTTTGGTATAAACGGCCCTGTCCATTTTCATTTGATTCTTGGCCAGGAGATCTGTTTTTTGGCGGCATTGCCAAGGGACGTGGTGCTCAGAATAGACTCCTCAGCACTGGCCGTGGTCTGGCTTCTGCTGGAAACCCAGCCTTGTCTTTTCTGTCCTGAACAGGTCAGAGCTTTGTTCTTGATTTTTGTGTGTTTCTCTCTTTTGTAGCAAAACAGCGCAGCAGACTTGTCCATGCTTGTTCTGGAGTCCCTGGAGAAGGCAGAAGTGGAGGTGGCCGACGAGCTGCTGGGTGAGCATCCGGCCCTGCACCCCAGGACCCTGTGACGGTGGCCCCGGTGCACCCTTCCCTGGGCCTGTGCACCGTGTTTGGTGTCTGCGTTTGGGGGTCCGCCGTGTTTGGTGTCTGCGTTTGGGGGTCTGCCGTGTTTGGTGTCTGCGTTTGGGGGTCTGCCGTGTTTGGTGTCTGCGTTTGGGGGTCTGCCGTGTTTGATGTCTGCGTTTGGGGGTCTTGTGCTCTGGAGTTCACCCTGCTGCAGAGGCAGTTCTCACCCGGTCCCGGTGAGCCAGGCCCCCTGGCTGGCCCTGGCCCGAGCACACTGCAGGCTGAGCAGCACCTGCTGTGACTCGTCGGCAGGGTATGATCGGGGCCCTGGCCTCTCCCCTGCTCTGATGGACAGTGGCCTCCCCGCCAGCTGGCAAGGTGGGCGCTGGTTCAGGGTGGGGCACCATTTTGTCCAGGGATTTGACTTGTCGGCATGTCCTGTCGGGTGAGCGTGAGGTCAGCAAAGCCCTTCTGTGGGCGGCCTGGCTGCGAGTCCCACTCCTAGTCTCTGCTGCTCTGGGAGATGCCCCCGAGCCAGAGCCACGTACCCAGAGCAGCCACAGGTGTTCCTGGACTCCAGACTCCCCACGGCACCTTCCCCAGCCCTTGCCTCGGTCAGGGTGTCTGTCCTTCCTCACTGTGCTCTGGGGCCCGTGGTGCTGGCACCGCGGTGGGCAGGTCAGCAGGGTGGCCCATGGCTCACTCAGGGACACCCACCAGCTTCCTCTCCCTGTTAAGCAGTTGTGGATTGAAATCCGCTTCCGTAAGGTGTGTGGTACAGAGAACCGGAGTTGCTGTGCGTTTCTCTGATCAGGGTCTGTGCTCTTTGCAGAAAATCTGGCTAAAGTGTTCAGTCTGATGGACCCCAACTCTCCTGAGCGCGTGGCCTTTGTGTCCAGAGCCCTGAAGTGGTCCAGTGGAGGCTCCGGGAAGCTGGGCCACCCCCGGCTCCACCAGCTGCTGGCCCTCACCCTGTGGAAAGGTAGGTCTGGGGCCAGGGCGGGCGTGGGCCCCTCTCTGCTCTCACGGTGTTGATGTGCACTGTGCATTCCAGTCCATCAGGGTCGCCCACTGGGGCAGGGGTGGGGTTTCACCCTGTGGTCATGTGGGTTGGTCCATGGAGGCCCGTGCACCATGCCAAGCCCCCGATCAGATCCACTGCCCTGAGAAGCTGCAAGACGGGGGGCAGGCGACTGCCTCTCCAGGCCTTCCCGTGGGATGTTCTGACCCTCAAGGAGGCAGCCGCACCCTCACAGGGCCTACACGTGCTGCTGCTCCTTTCTGGAACGTTCTTTCCAGCGCTGGGATGATGCCATGCCTTGTTTTTCTCCTTTACACTGACCTCATCTTCTGATGAAGCCTTTGCGGGGATTAATCACCCTGTGGTGGGGCTGATGAAGCCTCTGTGCGGGTTAATCACCCTGTGGTGGGGCTGATGAAGCCTCTGTGCGGGTTAATCACCCTGTGGTGGGGCTGATGAAGCCTCTGTGCGGGTTA